TTTCTTCGAAAGTTAGAAAAACCACCGGTTTCAGAATACATCCTTTCTTTTCTTTATTTGGATAATGGTCTTCTGAACATTCAAAACAGTCATCCATATCTGGAAGAAAAGTCAAAGAATTTGTCATATATGCATTCCATAGTTTTGAAAATAACGTTGTGAGTCAGTGCCAGCTGCTATTCATTTTGAGTTCTTTCTATTGGTTACCACTATGATCGTGTTGATATGAAAATGTAGTTTTTCCTCAATGGTATCATTTAGGATTGGAATAAAGGGAAGCAAAATGGGAAGGACAATTATTAAAGGAAAATTTCTAAATTTTCCGAATTTATTACAATATAAGCAATTTGGACTTTTCCAATTTTTCCAAAACATGGAGAAGGAAACAGTAATGATTAATATAAGACTTTAGTGACAGAAGCAGAAGTATTGACTCTGAGGTGCAAACCAAGATAATTCATTGAAACACTTTTAGATTTCCTCCTTCCTAAAGAGTGAGTAAACTAAGGAAAGATCACTTCTTTTATTTGGAAAAAAATAGGTGGGATCCAACAAGCAAAAACAATCACCTAATTTTACTGTCAAGATAAGAAGGGTATATTAGTCTGATCCCTCTATTCTATCTTGACCTTTATTATGCTTCTTTGTTCTATGTGGAGAACATTAGTCAGTTCTACAAACATCCACCTTATGTCCCTTTGAAGGTAGATCTGATCCATTCACCAATCTTCCTTTTTCTGCTGAAGCTTCTTTGCTTTTACTTACTTTCAGGCTTTTGTGCAAAATAAGGCCCAGAAAACGGCAGATTTAGTGGGAAAAATGTGTGCTTTCACTCGCATCTACACTGACCTGGGCCAATCAGAATGTAGTTTGTTGAGTTTTACGCTTTCATTTGCAAGAAGTGTCATTGTTTATTTAAAATTTTACTAGAAATTTAACTTTTATTTCATTATCCTTATTTCTATCCTGTCTTTAAAAGAGGAAATTTAGGGACCTTAAATCATCTGTTAATCTTGGTCAAAAAGAAAAAGAATAAAAGATAAAGAGGTTTTTGAGTTTAGTCAATGCACACAGACTCAAATGATATGTTCATGATTTTTTTTGTTTTTGGTAAAAAAAAGTACTTTAACTAGAAGTTTAACTTTCACTTGATTCTCCTTATTTCTATGCCATCC